AATAATATATGAACATGTTTCTACTTCTTTTTCGGTGTTATTTCGATAGATCCCAAATAACATATGGTATGTACTATTGTGTCTTTTTAAGCTATGAAATATATATCAAGATTCTAAAATGTAGAGCAAGTTTCTAAATTCTAAAATGACAGAAATCTTGCTGTATTTAGACAATTCGACCAGTGTTAATGTTAATTGAGCATGAGCGGTAAAAGTGTGTCTTATATATTACAGCGCTGAGGGGGTCTAGGGGTACGCTCGTTGCTCTTATATGGGATGGTTTAGCGGATTTTGAGCGGACGATGAGCGGACAGGACGAAACATTCTGGGACAAGATGACAAAGAAACATGAGCGTTGGCTTTCTTTGGGACGAATAATCATTCTTTGTCCCGTCATCTGCTTCATCTGCGCGGAACATGGCGGTCAAGCAAATAAATGGCATTCTCAAGAAGCTTGATTGGAAGAAAGTCGAAGCTACTTTGCTTTCTGCTGAAAGCGATGACGCGGATCCTGAATTTGAAGTTTGCGAAGCTTCGTTAGAAGATTGGGAGAGGTATGTGAAGTCGGAGACTCAAGTACTGGTGTCAAGATCAATGGCATTTGAAGATGGTAGAATCTACATTGTCGAGCTACCGACCGAGATACACGATAACTTCTGTCGTGACCTAGACTTCGCCATCTTGATTGCGACTGGCACAGGAAATCAGCATTTGCGGCCACGAGGATCGAGTTACGTTGAATCTCATCAAAAGCTCGAGCCCGATTGCAGTTTTGGACCTCCTCCCGGTATTGGTGCCGTTCGACCAGTTGGAATGGATTGGGGAGAATACCACACTTTGAAGGTGGAAGTAGGAGTCTCACGTGAATGGCCCTATCTGGATCGAAAAGCGGATCGATGGAGGCAATTTTCCGGCGTCGAGTACATTTTCTGTATTCGTATATCACCAGCGCTGCGGGTTCATCAGTACAAGCTCCACACGGTGGTTAATCGAGCAAATCCACTTCCGGTCATTAATCCGATACCTATCGCCAATCCGACAAATGTGGCTTTCAATTCGCGCCGTTTGTTAGGCCTCGTTGGACGAGGTCACACTCCCCAAGGCTTTTCTCGGCCCAATGTAGTGATCGATTTATTTCCGCTCGTAGAGAGGCTAATTCAGGAAAACCAGTGAAGACATTTTGAAGTGTCGATGCTTTTCGTCAGCGATTCACCCAGCACAAAAAATGACAGAGAGATATTGTAGGCACTGAATCACCAAGTCACCACTTTTTGCAACTTCTTTCCACTTATTTCTAGTCACTACAATATCATGGATGTCTTTATCATACTATACCAAGCTTGCTCGCAACAAAGAACGCATCCAATTAATATGGAAATTATTGTCGCGGAGAGTAATATAGTTGAAGAAATATCTCCACAAGTCAGTACCCCAGTCGTCGCTGAGGTTGTTGATACACCAGCACCATCGTTGATCAAGCCCGTCGAGGCCTCGAATATTGAAGTAAGCAAAGTTTCACAATTGGATGAGCCGATTGTCGCACCGGCGGTCACAGAGAACGTAGTAAATGGGGAGGAATATAATCCAGAATTGAAAATTTTGTATAATTCGGACGATGAATATGATACAGATAACGAAGATGAATTTATTTCAACGATGACAAAGTTAGCTTCGCCAATTCATGCTCGACCAGTAACGAGGGTTGAGGAGATTCGTGATGATTCCTGGATGTATGAATCATCATCGGACGACTCTTGCAGTGATGATGGCAGCATTGTCCGGGAAGAACCTAATAATGAACACCTGGACGAGGCATCCTTCGAAGAATTTGAACGCACGAGACAAGCAGAAGAAAATGCGGAATATGGAGATGCAAGATGTTACTTCACCACCGACTGAGATTGTTAATCCGACAAAACCAAAAGCCAACACTAAGTGCCAATGTGGTATACAAAGAATAACATGAATCTTGACGCTGTCACACATTTGGTGAATCATGAATCCGCTGATGTGCATCCATATGGCCCGTTCGACGGACACAAGAACGACCCTCGTGTATTCAACCTATTCAATGGGTCTCCTCATGTGTATGACCCTGAGTATGTAATCAAACAAGAGCGAGTTGATGTGTGACTCGATCATTACAAATATGTGCTATCTGATAGTAATGATGCTATGTATCAGTTCTTTGTGAAGTACTTTGCTCATCTGATCCAAAAGCCACATGTGAAGATGGTTCCTCTCATCAAATGAACGCAGGGGTATATCAAGAATTCCGCATTTGATATCTTTCGTCGTTTTGTGATTGGCCCCCAGAGTAGTCTTGTGTGTTCGTCAATGGAGCGTATCACTGCTCGATTCAACAGTATTCGACAGAGCAAGCTATCAATTGTATCAACGAAGCTTTTGACTCAAACAATTGCTCGATGAATAATCAAATGAAGAGTTACATCACCGACGATCGCACGCAGATTGAACGCAAGGGGCTCAAAACTCCATTCTTCTAATCAGGCTTCGCAAACTTCAAATTCAGGATCCGCGTCATCGCGCAGCAGAAAGTAAAGTATCTTCGTCTTCCTTCAAATCAAGCTTCTTAATAATGCCATTTATCCGCTTGACCGCCATGTTCCGCGCAGATAAAGCAGCTGACGGGGCAAAGTATGATTATCCGTCCCCAAAGAAAGCAACGCTCATGTGATAGTTTGTCATCTTGTCTCCTGTCAGCTCGTCGTCCGCTCAACCATCCCATATAAGAGCAGCGAGCGTACCCCTAGACACCCTCAGGGTACTAAACGAAAGTAAAAGCAGTGAAGATGTTAAGTCAGGCATAATGAACTTCGATAGTATGTTCAAGTATTCCAAGAAGTTATAAAATATCAAATCTAGAAAAGAAACCGAATAGCTCTCCATCTGTTCTTTTCTGTCTTTCTAACAATGTCTAACAACAGTATTAAAGTAAAAGGTCGCCAGTTTGACGTCTCTGGTCCTTGCGGGAATTCCAACCTGTATTTTCCATTAAGTACCTCCTTTTACAGGCCAACGAAACGAAAAACTTGGCATTTCATTCCTAAGTAATGAAATAGTAACAAGTTACCAATGGGAAAGACAAATGTTAGATTCCATTTTATTTATCCAAATTACAGCAATAAAACAAGGTTATTATCACTTCCTTGAACTCTTAACGCATTTTAATAGAAAACTTACAATACAACAACAGCGTAACCATCTGGCGTACTGAGTTATGTGCAATTCGTCTCGTCTTCCGCCTTATCCGAAAAAGTTATCCCCCAGTCTCAATTGAGCTATACAACAGACGAATTAAATTCTTAAACACTTTACTTCGACTTTTAATAGCATGCGACGTAGACCTCCAACACCAAACGAAAGCGTCGGCTCTCGCTCAGTCTCGGGTACCGTCATGACACCTCATTCTCAACGTTCTGGTTCAGGACATGGCACTACTCTTGTTAATCTTGATGGTAAACTTTATACTTTGAAATATCTTTAATTTCATTCCATGAGACTAAGAATTCTGGTGAATTTCTAGTCTTCATACATCGAGCAAACATTGGACACGATATTAGTCCAACTGATGAAGATTTGATCGTACTTTTTCGTCGTAATAGTAAAGAAGTCACGTCCGAACCTGCACCTTGGAGTATTGATCATTGTGCCGTATGGAATCAGCACGTTGGTATTCAAACGTCGCTACTTCGACAGAAAACGCCTTATCCACTTGGAACGGCTACTGAATTTCTCAAAAAAGAGTATGAAATTGTTCTCGTTGCGGTAAGTTCTTCTTTTCAAGCTCAATTTTACTGTCGTAAATGAATTAATCTCTTGCTTGTCATGTCTGTAGCTACCCAGTCATTCAGCTGTTGCTCTCTTTTCGATCGACTTTGCATCACTCGTTCAACTCAATGCTAGTGCATTAGATCATCACAAATCATTTCGTATCTCTCCAATAAAGTGTCGAGACTTGGCAGCCACACTCGAGCTTGACATTACGTGGGAATTACAAACAAATGCTGCAGCAAATGTTATGCATTCCAGTGCTCATTCTTACTCACCTGGATTGAATGGCTTGCCACCATCATCTCCATTACCAGGTACTACCTCTCAATCCATCTTGGCACAATCATCCAAGTCTCAAGCTCTACATACTCGAGATCTATCTAGATCTCGACGTACTGTAAATGACACAATGTCAGTCTCAATACGACGTACAAATACCAGTTTTAGCTCAGCTGGAAGTGATCGTGAATTGCTTGAAGAGTTGACATCTTCAAATTGTAATAGCTGTCGATCTGCCAAGCGTCGACTCGATCGTAAGGAAGTTCAGGTGTTGCAGCTCGAGTCTTTCTTAAAAGAATCACAAAAACGTATTGATGCACTGTGTACTGAGAATGATGAATTGATCGTTCGAGAAAAAGCTGAGACGCGACATGCTGCTCAGCAGCGTATTTTAACGCTGCGTTTGCTTCAGGAACTTGAAGCTACTGTACAGCTTTGCGTCGACCAAATGCAGATACAAGGGTCGACTTTACTCCCGCAGAAAGAATTAATTGAACGTGTGAAAAAACTGCATGAAGAAACTGATCCACTTCATGAAGATTCTGAAAATTTCCAGCGCTCACATTCGTCCCAAGCGTCTCTAGGATCAACTTTTGATTTTCGTGCAGAGACAGAGGCGGCATTGCAACGTAACCAACGATTGCAGCAGCAACTTGAATTCCTAAGTCGCTCAATGGATTATGACAACGAACATGCTGATGATCTCACCCGATATCACCGTGCGGCTACAGACGCATCGGGTACTACTATTTCATCGGCTCATAGTGAAAGCGTTGCGGTAGAATGTGAACCTCGACCAATAGCATTGACAATGACTCAGCAGCTTAATAATCTCGAACGAGAAAACTTTAAGCTACGCGCTGAGCTTGAGGGTGCTTTAGCTAATGCTGCACGGGCATTTAAGAAACAAGCAGTAGGTTATCAGTCAAGTTTCTCAACAGCGCTTTCTTTAACGGCCGAAATTTCAGAGACAGCAAGTTCATCGAGTCGTGATGATATTGACGAACCCGAAATTGAAGACGCTGGACTACTTTCTCGTATTCGCGAGCAACATGAGCTGGAAGCTGGACGATCAGCAGCTCTTAAGTCGGAGCTAGAGGAGGCAAAAAACGAGATTAATAAGCTGAAGAGTCAACTAGAAAAAGCTCAAGAAGAACGGCTGGCTAAAGAGGAGAAGGAGCCATCCCAAGCTCCAGGGTTTTTGGACAAGATTTATGCGGACGTTGGTAAAGCCAAATTGGTGCTTGAAGATCGAGTAAATCAGCTTGATGAGCTGCTGACGAGTGCGACAGATGAAAATGGTCGACTTCGTAGTCAGATTGAGGATCTTCAAAAGCAGCAGAATAGCAATGTTGATAACGTTTCTATCGCAAAAAAAGATAGTTACATTGCTGACATTGAGCGACGATTGAAAGAACGGGAAGACGACATTCAGACGAAGACACAGGAGCTTTTAGAATGTAAGCAGCAGCTTCAAGATGCTGCAACTCGAGCTCGTGCTCTTGAAAGTGCCGAGTTGACGCTCGAGAAGGAAGTTGCAGCCTTACGTCGTTCGCAGCAAATAGCACGAGAGAAAAAGTCCGTGGCTCCAAGCCCCCAGAGCGCTGGTACTACCAATGCAGTCGACAGCATTAATCACAATGAGGGGCTCGCAGAGATTCAGAAGCAGCTTAAGCTATCAAAACAAGAAGTGATGCAGCTTCGATTTCGTAGCAACCAGTTTGAAAGCGTTAATGAGCGTCTAGAAGAAGCGTTGAAGGAGAAGCGTACGTTAGAGGTCAAGTTGACGGCTTTAGAAGGTCAGCTCTTTGAGCAACGAAGTCGCACGCTAAATACTGACAGTAGCAACTTTGCGGCTTCTTCACTTGATGCCAAAAGTACAGCCATGCTGACTGATATGCAACGTGAGCTTGATCACAAAGCAGCTCAGTTAATGATCGCTGAACGGGAGGTTGAACATCTGCGTGGGCAACTAAATGACGTGGAACCGAGCAATCCGGGTACGATTGAGGATCTGTCAGACAAGGTTAAACAGTTTGAGAACGAGATTATTCGACTATGCCAGCGCAATGACGACCAGTTGAAAAAATTACAGAAACTAGGAGATCGCGTGAGAGTCGCAGTTCGAGAACGTGATGAGTTAGAGGAGATTGTGCAGCAGATAATGACGGAGATGTCGCTTTTGGATAAGGACGTTCAGCTTACGACTGAAGATAGTACTGATAGTATGCCATCGACTCCTGCGGTAATGGAAGAGATGGAGGAAAAGTCACCAATCTCGACAGAAACTACGGTGTCCAAACCTCTCGTTCAAACGGGTAAAATCACTGACCGATACGCTAACGCCGTTGCGAGCAGCCTCAGTGCATCTCATACACCAAACCCTCCACCACCAAGTGTGACTAGCAATAAGGTGGCGCAGCTTATGAAGAACTTTTCTACATCCAAGTAAAGTGAACTAGTGTCAGTGTAATTGAGAAGTCGAACTTTTTATCAATCATTGCAAGACAAAGTTCTTTTCTGTCTTTTAACAATGATATCAATGCAATTACTTTGGATGTTATCAATGTGAACCTTTGAAAGAAGAATCAAACTCGAACTAACGATGTTAACAGACCAGAGATTAGCTTGCGTATCCAATATATAAATTGAATGATCTTGTATCAACAAGACTTTAGTAGTGTCTATAGTGTTTTCCATGTGTATCTACGTAAATGTTCACACAATACTAATAATTTAAATAATATAATATATACCAACAAGTCGCAACGGTAATGGAGTTACTTAACAAGATTTGTCTCTTCGGCGCACATCACTGCTTCTACACACAATCAGCTGCAGCCGGTGCAGCTTACTGTTATGCAGCCATATTAGCTTATACATTGTCTGTAAGTATACAACGTGGACGTTTAGGTGAGCATGGCCATGCGACGCATTTGTTACCAGTAAAACGTATGCGCTGGTTTCCAACATTTTTAAGTTTTGCCTACTTCTCACGTATTGCATGGCTTGTCTTGAGCAATATGCACATGTTTCAATGGGTTGAAGGCTCAGCACCTAATTTTCAATTCGAGCACATGGTCTTTGTCACGCCATTATTACCAACAGATATTGATATTTATGTACTTGGCGTCACAAGCTTTGGAAAATTGGCTACATTACTTTATTTTTCAGCTTTTACACTTCTTCTTCGGTTTTGGGAAGATGTACGTGCACAAGCTCGACGAGCTGAGAAACCATTGGCTCGAGTAGCAGCTAATCAATCAGTTATTGCGGAATATACGCGTGGAGCTGGTGCGCAACGTTCTGGTCGATCTAGAAAATTATTTCTTGTTGCTAATGTTTGGATTTATCTTGTCGAATGTGCTTTACTGGTTCTCAAAACGCTATTTCCTAAAGAAGAGATGGTGCTTTTTGAAATGGAATATGGTTTTGTGGCTTTATGTTTCTTTCTGCTTGCTGTCATGCTCGCAAGGTGCGCACTGCAGCTACGTGGTATCCTACTCAAGATTGAATTTTCAGCTCTAGCTGCTACAATTGCCAGACGACTTTCACTTATCGGTCTTGTCTCGTCGCTTCTCTTCTTTTATCGAAGTACACTTTTGTTCTTTTCCATGCCAGCTATTGACGTCTTTGACCCACATGTATCGAATCCGTGGCTCTTTTACGCGATTCCGGAACTGATTCCAGGAGCTTTGGTTATATACATGATGAATGTCAAGCGACAGCATCCATCACCGCCAACATGGGGACATCTGAAAATTGACGAACAGACGCCGCTACTGCAGGAGCTCCGAAGACTTTCTATCGATGTACCAAACTTTCGTGGACAGGAGCTGCATATTTAATTTCATAGCAGTGGAAATGTATGTGCAATAGCAATTCAATAAGGAAGATCGAGTATCTGATTTTAGAAGTTGAAGTTCTTGTCTAAGTTTCTCTTATCCGTACGTGCCATATAGAGACTTACGATTATCGTTTAGCAGCAGATTAAGCATTTGCACTTGACGTCCTCTCGAATAATCATGAGCTGGTCGTTGTGAATTACATTTATCAGCTGAAGATTGTTTAAACCTTGAAAAAAATGATGAGCAAGTCATACTCCAATAATTTATTATGAATCATAGGTGATTTTATATTACAATATTATTGCATGCGCAAATATTATTGTCAAAAGACTTTGGTAACCATGACTGAGTACCTGCCCGATGACAACCGTGCGTACAAGGAAAAGAGTTATTGGGACTCACGATTTTATAGGTCAAAGAACAATGTATTCTAGGGGCTTTAATCGATTTCATTGCCTAACATCTATTGCAACAACAGCGAGGACTCGTATGACTGGCTGGCGCGCTATGAGAACTTGGCTGAGCTACTAACGAAGTACGTGCGTCCATCCGATCGCATTCTCATGGTACGTTGACTTTCAATATCAAGCACACGATCAGTGACAATATATTGTTATTGTGCAGGTCGGATGTGGGAATTCGACTTTCAGTATTGAGATGGTAAATTCTCATTGCAAGCAATATGTTCCAAGTCTCATTTTCATGGATTCTATGGTAGTACAACGCAGGCTTTCACAATATTACAAATATTGATTTTTCCGGCATTGTTATTGCTCGTATGAAAGCCAAGTACAAAGTAAATTTCGCAATATATTCTATTTCGATACGAGCGTCATAATCAACGTCGTGCTTTTAACAGGACAAGATGCCAGAAATGAAGTGGAAGGAAGCAGATATGACAAAGTTGAGCGAAACCTTTAAATTCGGAAGTTTTGATGTCGTTATTGATAAAGCTGCAATGGATGCGCTTATGTGTGACGAAGGCGATGTGTGGTCACCTTCAGAAACAGTTATCAAGGAGGCTGCTGCCATGTGTAGTGGTATTGCATCTGTGCTGGTTCCTGAAGGAATTTTTCTACAAATTTCGTTTGCACAACCTCATTTTCGCAAGCGATTTCTTTTAGGTGAGGGTGAAACGCCTCCAACCAGCACAATCTACGGCTGGGATTTCTCGTACCATAACATCGGTAAGTTTACTTGTTTGTTTGAATATGTAGTGAACCTAAACTTATCTTTCCCTTTTTACATGTAGAAATTGGTTTGGGTTATTTTTTCTACGTATTAAAGAAAACTTTACCTTAGTAGAAGATTATAATAGTATTGTGCAATAATTGAAGTACAACAATGCTTTATAGTCATGAACTCAACTGTGATTGTTGTTAGCTTCAAACGAGCACATCAACTTAAATTTTATTGCATTGATCAAAAGACCTTGATCACAAAATGTTTTAAACATGGTGCACTCTCACATGATAATTCAAGTCGCCTGTCGAGTCCGCAATAGGGTACATTAGCTGAAGGCATCAACTGATTTGCTAGTGAACAGATCTTCGTTTGTCGTGCGACAAATTCGGCAGCGAAGTTTTAGTCGCAACTTTCTGAAGTTCATCACCAACTTTAACCATCAGTAGACCAAGCGTGATTGAAATCATAGAGGATGCCTTGAAAACAACAGCACATTGTCCAAGTCCAGTGGTCAAACATTGCCAAATACACTACAAGCCAAAGGACATTCTTTGTTCGTACACATCAATTTTATCTGCTGCATCATTCGAGTCTTCAAAAATAGTCTAAAACAACAAATGTATTTAGATCCACAAAATAACAATTCAATTGATTGTCATCCAAACAATTTTATGACAAAATCAACAACTTCTACAGGTTCATTTTGACATGATGGATATCGGAAATATTTAATCAATCATGGTCAATTACAACTTGCCGTGTAGACCAGATAAATCCTTTTTCATCATCTCTGTGCATAGCACATCAACGTACTTTGTCCTTCACCAAAATATCACCAATGACAATGCAGGGTAGGCATCGAGCAGTTAATCCATAGGCTTTGCATCGATAAACCAGTTGACTTTAAACATTTTCACATCTTCACAAAAAGATACCAATACGAGCGGTCTGTGGTCGCAAATAAGGCAATGTTGTCTTTTAAACTCTAAATGCTATCACAAGCGCTTGAAGAGGTTACGTTCCTGCCTTCCTGACGTCTTTTTACGTCCACTTTCGCACTGCATGCCTCTTTCAGATCGTCTTTCTTACTTTGACAAGCCAAGGAAACGAACGATGCTTTCATAACGTCCAATAGCTTCAAAACACTCGGAGTAAAGAAATAACTTCCAGAAACGTTGTCTCCATGATAGCCCATTAATTATTTTTTTAGCCGTCACTGCTTCAGGTTTTCTTGAGCTCAAGAAAGATTACATCCAACCGGTATGTGATCATATCGAAAAGATCCTGCTTCATAGTATTCCAATCGGTTATCAAATTGTTCGGATGACGTTGAGTCGAAGCAAGCATTGCTCCACACTAAGTTTTAACATATTTAAAACGAAATATATGCCTGACACACGCTTCATTCGTTGTGACACAGCGTGGATACTCTAGACAAGCAAAAACAACTCGTGTCCGTAAAGAGCGCAGGCGTTGTGCTTTGTAAGAAAATGATAAAGCAGTAAAATTATGAGCATATGTAATCTTTGACAGATCGCGATGCTTCAGCTGGCATGGATATCAATGTAGTGCTGAGTCTTCACTTCAAACAAACATAATGCCAAACAAACATGATAGGAGGTCAGCTACCTAAACCACGCTCCTTGAACGATCAATAATGACAGCTTTGTCCATAAGACGTCATACTAAAAAGCATGCTATACATTCTCCTGTCCGGACACATTCACAAGTGCTGCAGCGTAAAGCGTCTCGGGCTCCAAGTCAGGTTCATCTAAAGCTTTAGTGAGTAGAAAATCGTTCTCAGTCTCGAGCTTTTGCGACGTGTTTTGACAAGCTGACGCTAATCTAGACAACCAAATAAGCACCTTTTCGAGATCGGACGATGGCTCAACAATAAGCCATAGCAACATGAATATCATCGCTAGTAACAACACGACAATTGCCGTAAGAACTCGTAACCAAAAGACTGTTTGCCACTTAAAGGACTTGGCGTTCATAAAACGTGTAGAGCGAAAATGTAGCTTTGGCGTCCAGCCTCCAGCACAAAAGTTTACCCCATGCTCTAAGCTAAAAGGTGCTGAATCAATGCAAGCGAATCCCACTGTTTTGCGCTCCGAGTCAAACTGAACGTAATACGCACGCATAAAAATCAAGCCGAGCACCACAATTTCGTCCTGCTGAGCTGTAATTGTCACTAGGGAGCCATTGGCGTCCGTCATCTTCCTCTTGTTCTTTTTTAACGTGGAAAAAGTATGAACGTTTAGCTGAGGAGCGCAAATAAAATCATCGCATCGCACGTAGTCCGTACCCTGAAGCATCAACGTTTGTGTCTTCTTATGCTTCAAAGCAGCTCTTGTCATCTCACGCACAAAAGTAAATTGGATCGTTGGAAACATTTCTGCCTTGCAGTCTTCGCAAGTATATCCGCTTGTTGTTTGTAAATTCATACGCAATTCACGATCGTATTCCAAACGAAGATGCTGTTGAATTTTCGTTATTGTTGCTGCAAATGCTGTTCGTGGAAGCAATAATTGTGACGTACCAGAGTCAACAATTGCTATAGCTGCTGTGACTACAACGACGCCATCTCGATCGCTTTGCGCTGGTTTCAAGCTTAATTCGAGCGGAGAACTAACGACAATCCGATCCAATCGAATTGCCCAAAAACCGAGTCTAAGTTGATTAAAGGGGTGCCCTACGAGTGGAAAATGATGCCAGTTGACAAACGTTCCGTTCTTGTCTGAAATGTGCGCTATTGGTAGCAAATCATCGACACCACCAAAGATCAATTGCGATGACGGTAACACATTTGGTCGAGGATTAATGTAGATAGAAAAGCGTCGAAACCGTGGGTCATTCTGGATTAAAGTAGGCTTTGTGATCAGTGCCAGAGCTCCAAATCCAAGTCCTACAATACCGTCAGCTTGAATGTGCTGCAATCGTTTGGTAATTTTGCTAGTGCTGCCCAGTCGTAGATTTGACAATGTCAGATTTTGATTATCACTAAACATTGAGATATCATCACGCACAATACAACCCGACGCATTGCCACTGCCATATTCAAGATGAAATGATTGATTCATTGCCACATGTGAACGCGAAGCAGCAGCGTGATAGCGCCGAGAACCGGCACAGTTTGTACAATTAATTTCCGGAAACCAAATGTCACTTGACCCAGTATCAAAAATGACCTGAAAACGTTGCGGTGGTGACCCGACACCAATCAAACCAGAAAAGTGCGTTTGATCGTGATTTTTGAGCGAGATGCGGAATAGACTAGAGGTCACAGTAGAGTTTGAACTAAGGAACGTCAGCGTTGTTGTTGCGTACAAAAGACGGTTTACACGACAGAGTCCCATAATCGGCAAACGATGACGCCAATCAATGACAAAGACGATTTGAGCTTGCTGAAAGCATGACAGGTGGGGTGTTGGGCATCACCATGAACAATTCTTGCGAGACAAATCTACACTAACCGGTTTCGCTTTCTTAGGTCGACTTCTATCCCGTGCGAGATATTGCTTCTATTAACGGTGTCAGCTATTTTCATCGGTCGTATGGCATACCTGCTGTCTTACAAACTTACGATGGAGGAGCCTTTCGAGCCGAAATGTTTAATTAGATAATCTATGAATTACTTCCAAGGTCATTAAAAAATCAAAAATCGCGAAATGCTCTTGATTAGTGCCTTACTACTTACTGACTATGATCATTGGTGCAGCAATTACGTGACATTGTTTTATAACACTAGCCAGGCTTGTATCAATTTGAGCCGGCGAGCGATATACTGTCTTGTGTGGCTTTTCGTGAGACCTCTCGTTAAGATCAACTTTTCGTAACAGCGCCTTGGCACGGTTGCTTACAAATTGATTATACGATTTTTATGAGTTCTGCAATTCTGGAGAAGTTTTGTGTGTGTCGAACAGGCAAGTGATTTCGTGCTATGATACAGCAGACCTTGTCAACAAATAAGAGTTTTCTACACTTCGAATCTGCGACATCGAGCTAGGAAGACCCAAGCTATCAACGCTTCAATACTTGTCGTGTCAGATTTATTAGACGTACGCATAGCATGGTCGAGGCGCAACGTCAACGTCGTGACATGTTCCAGTTTGTAATCTCAGCGACGCAAAGTCCATCTGCCATTAATAAGCTGATCAAGACGGTATTCAAGCTTGAATCAGGCGGGCGAAGATCATAATCCATCATGTCAGCGTCATGACACGTCACTTGTATATATTGCAAATAGATGATGTGTATCTGGCGGGGTCCACTTCATGTCATGTAGAATTAGCAATGATTTACCATAAATATAGCTAATATGTAAGAGAAACCGAGATCCCTTGGAATTTTTTGAGGATTCAATCCAGCAAGATTATGCAATAGTCAACACACTCAAACGTTCGTCTTGTTGTCAGCAGCTGAGATATAGGGCACGCAGGACGGGCTTAAAAAAACGATGTTTCTGTTGGGCTCTGAGGGCGTGGAGCACCTCATTGCGCAAGGGCCCGTCACACGGTAATCCAAGCACTAAGGGAATACAAACTCCAGGGCGCGCTTGCCGGCAAAACCTAATTCTGTAGCCCAGCCTTTACAGAAATAGTTCTAAATTTATGCGCGCAGCTACCGTCATATACATCATCACAGTATCATGTGCTAGCTCGAAGTAAAGCAATGTCGTTTGCAACAGTTATAGTGTAAGAGGCGATGAAAAAGGAATGCCTCGAACCACTGTATATCCATTTGAAAGAGAAAAGATTGGCGATTGACCGTGTCATGTCTGTATTCTTTGCACGATAATGCTGCAAGTTGTTGTCTAGGCCAAGCCACTTCCTTTAATCGCTTTGATATTGCGTTACAGATCAATCTGTATAGTTTATCACTCATATACTACTAACTCTCATTGTAAGTTGATGATACTCGTTGACCACGTTAAGAGCGCTGCACATAGTGCACCAAGCCGTCGTCTGCTCTTTCTTTGTAGCCTCTGAATGAGGGCTCATCTCAAAATGCTGAGAATATGTACCGGCGGCCAATAGCCGTATGCCTTTGTGGGTTGGAATGTGGGGAGACATACTTTCTCTTATCAAGCTCGATGACGGTATTGCACGACACAAGGTGAATACAAAGTTGCAATGTCTCTTAGACAAAAGGCGTTTGCGTTCTGCGTTGTGTGATGTTCGCTTCTAGGAACCAGGGTACTTATATCTCCTGACGCCCGTCAATAATGTTAAAAATGACTCTCGTCTGATTTTTGAAACTAGCCGCCAAACTCATTCCAATCGCTGTAAGAATGTAGTCATCTAGAACGAGATGAGACCGATCTCTTTTTTTAATATTATCTTCTCTTCTCTTCAGTGCCAAGTCGGTATTGCGAGACCTCGCATGCATCCCCTAGAGAGTCCTCGAGCTTTGTACAGCCTGAAGTCAATATAGAGCACGCAGTTCCACTTGAACTTCCCACTCACTTTGGTCTGAGTACATTATCTTTTTTTGTCGCAAATTTGTGGAGCTGATGCTACGCGCGATTGACGTATCGCTAACTCAGCTGTATTCTCATGAAAAGATATACCACTTTGAGAAGTTTCGAGTCCTGACCTCTTGTTCACTACCCACAATTGAGTTTACGAGAGAATTTGTCTATGAGATTGATAACGTTCAGCTACTTAGACGCATCTAAACAGACTTGTGAACTGGGATTGTTTTCCCTTCGCATTTTATCAAAAAATCAATTTTGAGGACGCTAGATCAGACTACTTATATGTGTCCTTACAAATAAAGACTCTAAAGACAGCGGCAGACGATCGCTATTTCCCTTCGCATACGCAAATCAGTCGGTGACAGGTGTGTAATACCTTCCATCTTTGTTCATGGCTCCAATAAGTACTCTCTGGATGGCCGCATGTTCTACACCAAAGGTATCGTACCATCGTCCTTCGTCAAAAGCGCTTCTGGGTTTCAACCGCGGTGATTTCATGGGTAAGCTACGTTCACGAAGGGAAGTGAGTGTGTCTATCTTTTACTAAGGGGTTTGTATAATGCATAGTCCTACTATTCTTGAGTTCAAGTTAAACTATTGCACATAAAGTTTCAGCCGGGCCAAACATAGGGTGAGATCGTGCGAAAGAGACTACGAACAATAGCATTTTACACAATAAGAGTCGTGTAAGCTGATTTGGTGAGCCAAGAAATGTCCCGAGTGACCTCATCGAGTGAGTCACGGACACTGTGTTCGCAGTCGACACACTCAATACCTAAATATTATCAGCAGCAGTCATATGGTTGCGTTTTGCAGTAGTTCAATGTCTACGATTGTACGCCGCCGCTTTTTATGTTAGAAATTCCCGTGGGCTTTCAATACTGGGTACGCTGGCGTATAGAGCTTGAGCGACCAACCAACTTTGGTCATGTGTGTCACCCCTGATAAAGAGTTGCTCATATTATCAGCCTCAGCCCCCACGATAGACGATTCTGTACCTGCTGAGGCTTGATAGTTCTCGCAATCGTTCCACCACACTACGTGGTAGCTCGACATTCAATCCTGAATTGTTATGGCGCGCGAGCTGTCGGTGTTTACATGAGTGAGACACTTACGGATTTCTAACAGCACAGATCGTGCTGCACTTCAACGTTTCTTGCTAACTTCTTTTGCCCCCATCTCTTTCTTCTTTATCGCCTTTTGTAGATCGAAACTAACGTTTCCGATACTCAATGCGACACTCACCGCTTGATGAAAATAAACAGAAAGTGGCATAGGGTGCTGATGCCTGAATGAGAACCTTCATAAATCGGTTGTCACCGACTTCAGAACAGGGTCGATCAACGTCTGGCTATAAAGGGTCTAAAGCTTTGAAGACAGTCCAGCAGTCCTATTTTCCTTTTTGACAAGTTAGTGAAACTGCGGTCATAATCGATCGTGTGAAATCGCGTTACGAAGAAATACAGTATCTGTCGTTTGATAGCTATCCATGACTGTATACCTTTTTAAATTAATTATTACATCGTTTTGTGCACAAAAATCCGGTTTTTTGTTCACTCGCGCGACAAGCCGTTGCATAATGTTACGTAGGACTAAATACATCGCCCTTCCAAGTTCGTATCTCGATAAGAACATTGCCATGTTAGCCCATCGAAACTCTCGTGGTGCAACATTGCTCCAAAAAGCGGTTAGAAAACGGCAATTCGTTCATCGACTTCTGCTTGATACTTTCTAGAGTGCTAAGTCGGTGAAAGCTGGGAAATTGGGGCTTAAATGACCAATTGCGCTATTTTCTGTGACAGAATACGATTAGAGGCCCCGGATCTGCTTGTTTCATCACGAAAAAGAGATATGATCATTAAACCCGGCTGTCCTCTTGATTATGATGTTACCTCAGGGAAACGTGTTTGCCGCGCATCTCGCACAGAGAAGGTCTTCACTCAAAAAGTCTACTTTATCTCGCGCTCGAAGTCTAGATTATTGTACACTTGTAAGGTGGTGAGCCAGAAGTCTCGCCAGAATTGGTATCTCCATTCGTTAAACGTTGATATGCGTATTATTGAAATCAAGCTGGGTTAAGTTGTCACCTGATGCATAGGTTTAACAAAACATTATACTCAACCTTATAAGTCGTAATGAATAAACGAGTAAATACTTATTCGAGATAATTAAGTTGGCGAATTGTGACAGCCTTAAAAAGCCAGTCGCACACTTTGCGCTGCACGTATGTTGCCGGAACGCTCAGTGTAAATTCACATATGACGGTAAACTTGGTACATCATCGATGCGCTAGATGACGCGGATACTGAAAATCAAAGCGACTACTGGAGAAAGCACGTCAGTAACATCAATGCATTTGTAATTACTCCGTTGAGATACAATTGTATACAGTGGTCGGTGAGAACAAGACAGATACAAGTCACCCCGAAAAAAAATTGCTTTGTTGAGCAGTATCGTCACTTTTGGCGGCAGCTACTCGATGAAGTTATTAAGCCGTAGTGAATGCAAAGGCTATGCTCTGTCGGTCGTTCTGATGTCCGATGTCTGCGGAACCCGTCCCAAAACAAAAACTAGTTTAAGAGAGACGGAGCATATATCTCGGGTATGTCGGCAATATTCAAGTGCGACTCGCAAATTAGTAGACAATATGTGAAACTGCATCAATGCAGAGTATGATGATTGTCTGAGCGAGGTATAAAAACATCTTCCAGGCTTTACACCTCGTAAACTTGAATGACTGAGGTTATTTATGGTTATCAGAATGCACTTTTATGCTATGTATGGCCTGGCCAAATGCCATGAGACATGGATTGATTGATAACAAGGACTCTCGGATGTCATCCATTTTTTTCCGGGGGTTTCGGTGTGATACGACCCAAATCTGCTAGAAGGCATAGTAGTTTTGGCACGACATACAGTTGCAATGGCTTTGATATAACACATATAGTTGCCCGTAAAATTTAGTGAGGGTAGGTTCGGGCGCCTTGCGCTAGAAAGGGAAATAGAAGCAGCATCACGGTGTATAAAACTGTTGCAATATGATCATCGAGCTGTTTCTCATATGGGGTATCGGCTAGGCCATGTGTTGCCTGGTGAGGGTGGAGTAACTTGATCAGTGACACTCCTCACCAAAAACCACCGCAGCATTCTCAGCGAAATCATTTCTTGTGCGTCGGCCCGGAGAACTCCAACTTTTCGAGGGGCTCACCGAGATATTTGATTTTACGTATGAGCAGGGCGACGTTACAAGCATGCTTCAGGGAGCGAAAACGGTAAGGTGTAGAGGGTGGAGCTGGACTTCAGATGCAATGACTGCGCGTCTAGCGAATGCTTTTGCGCAAAGTACTGAGACTTCAAAAAGCTATCCACCCCAGTGAAGTCCAAATCTACCGAAAGGAGGATGTAATGATGAAGTACTACCCCCTAAGCGTTTGGTACAAATTAGATGGATACAACGTTGTACCGTTGTACGAAACGCTATTGAATTTTATAGTATCTGTGGATAATTTAGGTTCCCAAACAATACCAATAATTACGAGGCCAATGAAACTCAAACAAGGAAGGGCTCGTGATATCAGGGATGAGAGATGCAGAGCGATGTCTCTAGTTATCAGTCCATTACCTTCGAATTTGCGCACAGTGCATGGAACCCCGTTAGTAAAAAAATAATTTTCATTCCATACAATGATACAAAAGTGAAGATTGGGAGGGATGGAGAACGAACCGACAAATTTGCATAAATCAATTTAAACTCGTCTTTGCTTCAATTTTGATGTAGAGTCTCCTACAAGAGTGCTATTACGCGGTTCTCTTGGTGTGGAAAATACTTTGTTGGTGCGGTTGCAGCGGGGCTGTCGTAGCTCTTTGCTTAAAGGAAGCTTAGTAAGGTCACCGACCTTACGTTGTATACTAGAACCAGTATGAGTGTATCGGATCACAATCCGCTACTCAAACCTCAACCTAAGGCAAATGTTCTCTTCCATTAAAACCTGAGCCTGTATTTATACTTTTATTGGCGACCGAGTCGTCTATATCTAAAGCCTTAGGTTTCCCTTTGAATCAGTAAAACCTAATTAATATGCATAACTACTGGCAGTCCCGCCACGCAGCGGCTTCTTGTTACTGTGTAGCCACACCATTATGTAATGACATCAACTTGTGGAATCCACACATTTGTACAGTCACATCATCTTGTGTGATCCACCCATTCATATTAGGGTACGTGTAACCCTGACACAGCGGTCAGTTATTCGCACATTCGTCAGGTTAGGGACGGATCCGGTGCAGCAGTAAGTTTTAACTTGCAAGTGAATATCATGCTTGCAGTGCTCAGCAAGCTGCAAGGTCGTATATATCGATGCGCTGGATGCTATTTGCTCGAAACGGGAAATCGCCAGCATAGCTTCGGGCATCCCACAGTCGATTTATGGCACAATGACTGACACTTCTATACGGTGTAGAAAGCGGTCTTCCACATGAAGATTTGGTTATCGCTGCTGCGACAAACCTTTCCAACTCGATCGAAGTAGTCTTGCGTCATCCTGAATTTGATCAAGAAAATACTCGGTAGACCGCCGAATACAGCTTAACGCTTTTTTTTAATATTGAGCCTAATATCCATTGTACGTTAAACAATATCAATATTGAGAACATAAGATAGATCGCGATATAAGCTGTCAAAGCCGGTGCTGATATTGCAGCTTTATGTCGTGAGGCAAACAATGGTGGCTTGTACTCGACAGCGTGTAGCTCTTCCCAAGATGATACTCTGGAGGAATAGTGAATGGATTAAAGTATCGAGCCGAGCATCTCCGCGATTTACGAACTGCACCAGCAAAACTTAGCGCTGTTGTCGCGGGTCGATTTTCACATAGCAAATCAATGACTATTGGTCCCATTTAGGCGTTTAGAACTATATGAGGGTCACCAAAACTAAACTGTCGATTTCAACAGCAAAGATTTTGAGCGCTAAGTTTGGAATAGTGTTGGCGGTCGAACCGAAAGACTCAACTGACACGCAAACATCTGCAGATATTTTCTTTCCTTGATGTCAAGGCTTCCATGGAGTGTTACTTTATGGTTCGCCTGGATGCATTAAAAGTTCGATTGTTCGAGTAGCTCTACACATAAGTGGGGTCACATTTCCGTCACTTTCAGCAGCTCTAGTATCTTCACCGCATTTTGGTGGTGCTGAAGCTGCTATATGTCGGATTTTCTGAGATACTCCAGTTGCTCTTCCAGCCATCTTCATTTTAACTAAAGCTGATATTATGGATTCAAAGCAATAATTTGATGGATCTATAGAGCGTGGAGCCTCCACTACAATACGCGTGCTATCTACACTGCTATAAAATGGGTCTGGCAATAAAGTTTTGAATATTGATGCAGCGAATAGTTGGGACTGCACCGATAGCACTCTTGCGACCGAGGCGATTCGAACGCATTCTGCTAGCAGACCTTACGGATAAGATTGATCTCGAGAAATTGTACATCAAAGACTTATTGGACAACCAAAGTCGCACTTCGCCTGATACTACTGCCACTCCTCTTAAAAACTGCATCTATATCCTGATTTTTACATGCACACTAAGAACACTGTCGTTTTCGTTTGAGCTTTAAAGCAGCTCTCATTTCAAAATTTCAGAAGTTTGAGCTTTACTGTCAGCGTGATTACCATTACACCATTTATGCTACAAACTTCGCGCAACTTACATCGTTATCACTCTATTAAAACTGCGCAATGCGACGCACTTTTTGCTCGATGTGCAACACGATCTTTTTCTTGTTGTCAGACTGAGCTGATAGCTACACGGGCATGCTCAAAGTATGAGATGCACTGTAATCGATATGAGCCGGAGATCAAGACGCGTGCTCACTTCAAATGTCGACCGCGCGCTTTTCTTTGGTCTAAAGTCTGTTTAATGAGATGGGGTTGTCGTCAAGAGCACGGGCCACAACGACCTTTATCGTGGTTGATAATGGCTATTGATATATCGCGACTGCGGTCTAAAACCAAATTAGGAGGGTTGCACTAGGTCTTGTTCTTTAGAAACGCGACTGACCCCCATTGACAACCCGGTAATGGGGTGTCTCAGCTCCTGTTCACTCCGAGAAAGGGTGCGATTCGCAGAACTCACACTAGTATGAGCGGGAAAGAGAAGAGAAGGTTGTGAGCCTTTTAAGCCTCAGAAGAACTTTAGTCGATAGGCTGAGCAGCATTTATAGAACATAAAAGTTTTGAGTGATTTACTCTGATCGATGAGCACTTTGTCTACAAGATCTGAAAGACATTGGCCACACTCAGCATTCATTGATCAATACCTTGCCTACAAACGCTGAAAACATTGGCCACACTCAACCTCAAAGGCAGCCTTCTAGGCAGCTTTCGAGCCATATGTTAAAATTTGTAGTTTAGAGAGGAGCTTCCGGAGCGGCAGTTGCACTTTGAACTAACTGGTGTATGATCATATTTGAACGTGGTGATAATGCTGTGAGCTTTCAACGAGGATACTTTTTGTCCCGTTACGAACTGCAGCGGGGCTACCGTAGCTAAGCGCCTTAAAAAGTGTACTTCAGGTCACCGACCTTTGGTTCTTTACAAGAACCATGTATGGGTGAGCGTATCGCAATTTGCTTACTCCAAGAGTAATTATTGCTTTTCCTAGGCTAGTTGACTCTTTGGTTTAAATTCAAAACTGATTTATTTTTTATTTTTTATCCTAATTTTAAAAGTCAATTCTAAATATAATAAATATGTATAGTAAAATCTAAATACATGCACTACCTAGCCCCATACCGTATTTTTGCTGGGTGTGGTCACACCATGCATATCTCGTGTGACATACACAGCCCTGTAATCAGGGTTCAGGAAACCCCGTTACATTAACTTTACTTCGGTGTGCGATCACGATGCTATTCCTAGTGCAATTGAGCATCGCTCTGAGTTCCGAAAGTAAATAAAGTAATATATACGCATACTGGATCAGGTGTGCAGTCTATTTTTCATAGATCAACAGATTCGGAGAAGACTGGTGGGTTTTTGCTACACTGGAGAGCCATAACAGTAATTTTAAGGTTTTAACAGTCGACCTTATGTAGTGAGTGTGGTGGACACGACGTTGGCACACGGCCTAAATGTTTTGTTTTGTCATTCAGTTAAAAATGCCTCAATGGTGCTGATTTGCACGAGTGACGAACACTAGCGTTCATCGTGAACAAGCGATCGCGTGACGGGAGTGCAGCTCGATATTTCGTTATAATAATATTGAACGACGTTGAATAGTAGAGCCACTGTACGATGGCGTAGAAAATCTAGAGTTCCGATTCAACAATTCTGGATTTCCTTTCAACTAATGGCATTTCTGTCGTCACATCGAGCGTAAAGGCTGGCTTCCAGGATAGTGGTAGCAAATTTTCGCAGTTTGCAAGTTCGTGATCCGATTATGCCAGAGTGTATTATTTCGCGATCGTTCGACGCCATATGCAATCAATGGTTGTATAACGAGTGCGTTCAGTCTCATCCCATTTTAACTGCCATAGATGGCGAGTACAAAAGCTTCCAAGACTATAATCAAGAACACGATCAGTCTCCGAGCTTGCAATCAAATTATGAAAGATGAGCCTAGCGTTATGCTTAAAGTCGAGTTCAAGTATAGCTACTCACCGTTCGAGGCGACAAAAGCGTGCCGGCGGGCCCTTTAGCGAGCGTCGGAAGCAAAAAGTGACCAAGAAAGCGCTGAGCAACGCTGGCAGTGCCTTATCAAGTAAATAGAATTTTCTAGCGAACGCCGCAAGCATTGCATTTATTGGATCATTGAGAAATATCCTTAATGTAGCAGGTGGAACGATTATAAGCGTTAGGAATTGCTGCCAGTTCAGCAGTGTAAACAACGTGGCAGAGATGTATACGATAGCTTTATTAGGTAATTAAGCATGGCTTCACTACAGTTGTGACCCACACTAGCACACACCATGTAAATTGTGCGAGACAGCAACGTCCAGATATGTAACAATTTTCATGGTGCTTCCATATAGTCGGTTAAGGTCGTTCGATACGTAGCGAGCGACTAGATCGAACAATGCATGGTCGTTTCGGCAGGGCAATGATCGAATATAGGCATCGGATAAGGTAGAAATACAATGACTTGATGTAGACTTGTGTAGAAGCTCTTCGCTTGGTGATGCAGACACGAAGACGATCATTTGAAAGATTTGGTGAGTTGGCTCAACGGTGCAATAAAGAGACGGATGTAGAAGGTGTTGAATTTGTTGAGCCTAATACCTATCGGGAAGAGCTGCACAGCCGATCCTAACGATTGTGTCATTAGTAGCAGTCGTAGTAACGTGTTCATAGAACCCACAGCCAAACAATTATCTATCAAAATTTGTGAAGACTCTATCAGTGTGCGCTGACAATGACTGTGGCGGTAGTATGGCTACAGATTCACACGGCGGCTTACCGAGAAAACTTGTATGTGGTCCGTCTTGTGATGCTGCGCTGGCCACATTAGTACCGATGTTTGGATCAGAGTAACAGGAATATCTCGATCTTTACGGTCGGTAGCCAGTTTTGATGGATGACAATGTATCCCCATTGTGGGCAATACAGCCTGGACGTGCCAAGATTTCACAGAGATATCCATAAAATTAGGTCAGCGACATACTCGTAGCCTAAATTTTTATTGTCTTGCATTGATGCTTTTAATTTGATGATGAAATTGCTTGTATGAAAAGTGACTCTCTCGTCAGTATCCTCATGCTCGACACCTGGGTCCGTCACGATTGACTCAAAGTGGTTGATATCGAGCGAAGTAGTGTAATCAGTGTACTCTACGTCCACAACATCTTCCGTCTCGTACATTCCAGCGACTCTCAGTATCCGACTTGGACACTTTGAGCTAGAAGTATATTCTGGCCTTCGCTTGACTGGATAAGATCCGACACATGCGTCGTATGCTTGATGCCAACAGTCTGCATTAACGAGAAGGTGATAGCAACTGAGCCAATGTTCACGGCGATGCAGATTCGAATTAGTAGAGCATTTCAAATCCCTACAACTAAACGACAGAATGTATATTATGGAATATGCGTGCGACGTTCCACGCTATTTCGTTGTGATTAGCTTCAGAGCTCGAAGTGGCAAACTCAGTACTCAAAAGTTTAAAGCTTCGCAAACAAGACAATTTCATTGACAACGCTTGTGATGCACTTTCAAGTTACACATCTTCATACCGTTTCTAGATAACTAACTACTCTGCGCATACGCTTTGACATAAGAAGTATTACAAGTTTAAAAGCATTTATTTTATTCAGATTGTACAATTGCTACTCGACGTGTGTTCCACAAAGTTTCCGTTAAACTGTCAATTCATTTTCGATACTAAGTTTGTTGCCCATACGAAGTTACAATCGCAAGATACACGACAGGCATATGCATCTAGTTGGGAACAGATCGTGTGACAGCTCGCAATGTGACAAAACAATTAAGAATCTTAATCTTTCTTGACTTGTGGAAATTCAACAATTTAGAAAGGCAGTAACAACCCAATGATTTGGTTAAATATTCTCTCAGATGTCCAAGCTGCATACATTGTCTGCACATAATGTCGATCTTCCTGCACTATCTACATCCGATCTACTTACTTTATACACAATAATCTGATAGTCGAAGGCAAGCGAAGCGCAGCGATTGCAACAGCATTCGATAGTGTGGAAGCAGCAAGTTTTTTTTTTTTCTGAATATTACAATTGGTCGTTAAAAATTCAAGATGCGTAAGCAAACATTTGGGATAAAAGAACGGCTTTATAAATGGATTCCTGGTTAAAATTTCTCAAAAACCTTGAATCCACTAATCTTCCATCATACTGATTTATATACAAAAGACTGATTTTTTATGCGTCCAACGCATGCGCTGGCGCCTCAGCCTCAAAAATAAACATCTGCAGTTATGGCAGAAATTCAGAAGACCTGGAGCGTAGATATTAGTGGCAACCGTAACTACAGCAATTTCTATTGCACTGATACCAAAAATTGTCGAATTTCAGTTACATGTCTTGACGCGCGATTCAGCAAAAGTTCACAACACGAACAATGATGAAGTAAAAATTTCAAAATTATGCGATAAGATATATATATACAAAATGTTGTATGGGCGTGAATATCTCGCCAACAACAGCCGGCAGTAGAGGGCATCTGATGCTGCATATTGGGGCTACGAGATATCGATTTTGTCCATAGTATGATAATCATATGGTTAGCAACGAGATAGTCAGCTCGAAGGGCTCGTCGCTACACATGGTCGTGCTCGTGTAAAAGATAGGGCGAGACATGTTGAAATCAAGAGAGAAGGTATTTTTTCTTGCATGATAAGCTCAAGCTCCCTGCCGCTCCCCTGCATCGTTGGCTTGTGTCTGGAGAGCGCAAATACCATCGTGACCTGAATACTCATTTCCCAATTTTCTCCGAACGCGACGTGCAATACTAGCATCGACCCCGTTGAAAATTCTTTTCCCGTGTCTCGTTTCTTCAGCAGCGTATACAACCTCTTTTAACGACCAAACATCACCATGAAGGTGTACACGACTATTTTGCTGTCAGCCGTAGCCATGCAAGTGGTACTTGGTGGCGCAGGTGGCGGTATTACCTTTGACAACGCTGGTGATTACACGCCAGGCGGCACCGAGGGCACGACTGACAATAAGCCACCGAGCAGCGGAAGCGGTTCACCACCTACCAGCACGCCACCGGGTCCGTCATCTCCTTCGGCAAGTCCGCCAGCAACACCTGGTACACCATCGGCTGGAACGCCTCCTACACCAGGAGCTCCAACGACTGGAACACCGATACCAGGAACACCTCCGGCCTCACCACCATCCACACCGGGCGCTCCACCTGTCTCACCGTCTCCTATTCATCCTGCTCAGGAGGCACCTGGGGGAAACACAAACACCACCAATCCAACACCTCCGTCGATTGTCAACCCAACTGGATCCGGTGCGACGCCTCCTACCGGATCAGGCTCACCATCTCCCAGCGGAGTAGATACACCATGCCCAGAACTAGCATACAGTTACCCACCCGGCACAACGACACCCAACACGGTTGGCGGTGACCACTCAAGCAATGTCCCTACCCAAGGAACCCCAGTCCCTGGGATTCCTCCTGCCAACACTCCTGGAACTCCCCCTGCTGATACTCCAGGAGCTCCTCCTGCTGGTACTCCAGGAGCTCCTCCCACTGGTACTCCAGGAGCTCCTCCCACTGGCACTCCAGGAGCTCCTCCTGCGGGATCCCCGCCCGTTGGCACTCCAGGAACACCTCCAGCTGGCACTCCCCCCGCTGGGACTCCCGGTACTCCT